TACAGGTGTAAGCCTGCTGTGTGAGAGCGTTTGAAATCAAGGCTGCAAGAAGGAACCATATGGCACAAAATACAATATAGGTAAGAATAAGCTACTTGTTGATGTGGAGGTGTTCATGTACTCACACCCTTTGATTATGCCAATTTACATCTCCTTCACCTATCCCTTTTTATTGTTTGACTGATGAAAAAAGGTGGAGAGAGCTAATTAAGCATATAAATCATTCAATAGATTTGTTTAGGAGAGAGAGAACTTAAATATACGTTAGATATTTTTAAAGGTCATGGTATTGCTCTACAGGTATATAGTACCCTTGAGTAGGGTGCTTAGATTGTTGTTGATCCCTGTAATTAGTTGACTCTAAATACTTTTTTTTTTTTTTTTTATGGGACTGGGAATTTATTTTTACATGTCTTCTAGATGTGGAATGCAAATGTATATGTAATCAAATATGAAATGGAATATGTAATGGTCCATGTCTGGTTGCCTTAGGATCAAGGTTGACAAACTGCTTTCTCCTTGTGGTAGCAACAGGAAACATGTTGTTTTCTATTTTAATATACTTAAAATACAATGTATTTCTGTGATGCAAAGCTGAATTTTCATCAGCAAATACTCTAGTCTTCAGTGTCACATGATTCTTCAGAAATAACTATAATATGCTGATTATGATCAATGTTAGAAACAGTGCTGCTTAATATATATATATATATATATATATATTGTAATCTTGTGATACTTTTTTAAAAGTTGAATAAAAAGTCTTTACCAACAATATACAGTGAGTCTTTACTATCACTTTTTTTTTTTTAACAATTTAGCATATCATTTCGAAATAAAAGTATTAATGTCCTTAAAAAAAAAAAAAGACTCTGACCCCAAATGTTTGAATGGTAGAATATTGTTACAGAACATATCTATATTAAATAAATGCTGTTTTTAACTGTTTATTCATCAAATAATTCTAAAAAAAAGAGAAAAGTATCACAGGTTTCAAAAAAATAATAAGCAGCACAGCTGTTTCCAACATTGATAATAAATCAGTTTGTGAGAATGATTAATGAAGGATCATGTGACACTAAAGACTTGAGTCATGATGCTCAAAATTCAGCACTAGATCACCGGAATAAATTATGTTTTAAAGTATGTCAGACTAGAAAACCATTATTTTAAATTTCAAATAATTTCACAATATTACTGCTATTTCATGCCGGCCAATGAGTATCACCCAGGTTTTTGCTAGTGAACACAATGGCTGTTCTGGTCTGCCAGGCAAACTAACACCAAACTAGCATAAACTATCATAGACCTGTATGAACCACATTTGCTGGTTAAAGAAACTTAGTCAACTTAGTCAACCTAGTCAACTTGTAGCAGGCTCCCAACCATGGGTAAATTTCCTTCTTAACCACCGTAGTACAATGCATTTTTTGAGAAATTACTAGTTAGGTTATGTTACTTTTTTCTCCATTAAATGTATGAAATCCCAGCATACACGCTCCCGATAAATATTTGTTATTAAAGCATCAACATTCACATAACACTGTTATTTTTAACTAAAGCTAGCGGCTGCTGCGTGCATGATTTGGCATGGCAGGATGTCAGCAAAGAGCGCTGCATTTATAATCTCTAAAAGACATCTCAGTTCATCGCAATCTCACAAATCTTTG